GTCCCGCTCCGCTGCTTCCGCAAACCCTTGCTTTGCCTTATGTGCCGCGTCCCGCCGCTCCCCCTCGGTCTGGCTCCGGGTTACCGCCTTTGCAGCCAGCCTGCTGGTGGGGATGATGGAGTCCACGATTTCCTCTCGCAGGCTGGCGCGCTGGGGCATGCGAGACAACCCGTCTGCCAGGAAGTTACACTTCCCGGGGATGTGTTTTAGGGTGAAACTGAATCTCCCGAAGTATTGGGACCAATGTGCCTGTTTGGGGGATAGCTTATGCGGGGTCTTCAGGGCCTCGAGGTTCTTGTGGTCCATCCACACCTCGAATGGTTCGGCTGCCCCCTCCAATAGATGCCTCCACGGGGCTAGCACCCACTTGAACGCGTACGCCTCTTTCTCCCACACCTTCCGCCTTCTCGCCGTCTCCGTGAATTTGCGGGGGGCGTAGGCGCATGGGTGGATGGCCCCCTCCGGGCTGGGCTGGAGCAGGACCGCCCCCGTTGCCACGTCTTACGCATCTACTTGTATGATAAACTGCCGATCTGGGTCGGGATGGCGCAGGATCGGCTCCGCTGTGAACCGCTGTTTTAGCTCCTCAAACGCCCCCTGGCATTCCGCAGTCCACGTGAGTGCCATGCTGGGTTTGGGGGGCTTTCCACTGCCCTTGGTTTTTAGTAAGTCTGTCAGGGGAAGAGCGATTTGGGTGAAGTTCGGGATGAACTACCTGTAGAAGTTCGCAAATCCCAAGAAGCTTTGAAGTTGCCTCCGGGTTCGCGGCGCTTCCCAGCCCAGGACATCTTTCACTTTCGCCGGGTCCATCTCAATCCCCCGACTAGATATACGGTAGCCGAGGTAGTCCAGCTGCTCCCGATGAAACTCGCATTTTGATAGCTTCGCGTACAGCTGTGCCTTCAGCAGTCTCTGGAGCACCGTGCGCGCCAGGCTCACGTGCTCCGCCAGGGTGTCGGTGTAGATGAGGATGTTGTCCAGGTAGACCAGGACGCCCCGGTAGA